CCCCCCCCCCCCCCCCCCCCCCCCATTTGTTTCCTCCCACCCCTTCCTTTCCTCCCGGAAAAGCATAATACCGGTTTTGAACCGGTCCATGAAAGTAGGAGTATGCAGGCCTACGTACCTTTCCCGTGTTGTGCCGGAGGACCCCGAGAGCTCGACCTCGGTATTCCTGGTCCAACTGATCGTACTGAGTCTGGAATCTCCTGCGAAAAAAAAGGAGAGAAAGTATTTTATTTCATTTTTAGTTCCTTCTTGCGTGGGACGAGGATGAGGCGTGAGTAACGGAGGAGCGGGTCCACGCTTCGTCTCCCTTTCCTGGGAAAAAACTGAGAGTCTCGGGGGGGCGCAGATGGATGAGATGGGAAAGAAAAGGAAAAAATGAAAAAGTAACGCCTCCTACCCGATGGCCTGCAGGAGCTCTCGTTGCTGTTCCTCCTGGGCTTTGAAGGACTCGGAATGGGGAACTTGAAGAGAATCCTGGAGGATTCCCAGTCGACGCCGCTCTGCCTCCAATAACAGTGCCGTCACCTTTATGTTTCCAAAAGAGTCCGGTGCATTCAAATGCGAAACGGATTCGAAAATATCGTTTGGATGCCGACAGACCTCGAGTTGAATGCCGAAGAGTTCTTTGGTACGAGACGCAAGGAATCCCCGAGTTTCGCTCTCGCACATCCGGAATGGAAAAACGTGGAAGAAATGGACTAGGATGACGGTGCGCCTTCTTCTCGGCCAATTAAGGGACAAACCATTTCCTCTCTCTCTTTCTTTCTATCACCGGTCGAGGAGAACAGGGATTCGAGTTCTGCATCGCGGCATCTCATTGAACCGAAAGAGAGGGGGGAAAGGACGGAAGTGTCAACAGCCTGCCGGGAGGGGGGAAGTTTTTAGCAGGATCGTGAAAGGGAAAGGGTCATGTCATCACGAGGGCCACGGCGTGTGTGGATAATGTTCTACCTTTTTCTTGTCTTTATCGGTCTGACGCAATGGAGATTTTCCAGTGACCTCACGTGAAAGTCGGTGCACGAATCGCAGGGCCCAGTAATTGAGCCTTGCGACATGTGCCAGTAAAAAAAAAAAAAAAAAAACCCGACTCCTCGACGTCGTGTTATGATAGGAACGGGGGGCTTCCTACACATCATACAGTCGACATGGGATGAGTGTCCTCGACCCACATGTCATATGTTCTTGCTTGCTTTCCCTTCCACCCTTTGGCAACTAAGTGCGACAGATGGTCGGAGCGGAGAGACAATTCAAAAGGGGGATATGAATGATGCTGTTCCCCTGCCTCTGGCACAGCGGAACGAGAACTTAACCGCATCCTTAATAGGGTTATAATGATAAGCCTTGCTCGCCGATTATGAGAAAGAGGGGTTTCTGGTTCTGGTCATGTGGAGCAAGGTCATCATCGGATCATCCTCGACTAACTTACGAGTTAGTCGTACGACTTGGTGACACTTCTCGTCGACGCCACGAAGAAACACGTTACACCACACTCGTTTCGCACACGGTCACCGATCACGTGGGATACATATTGGTTCTGGCATGGACAGGTCTCGAAATCCATACGCGATCGCGGGATGATAGCACACCGAGGGGCTGGTCGCCACTGCCGTCCGTACGAGCTACTATAGGCCTACTAGTGATGGGGGAGGGAGCGAGAGAAAGAGAGAGAGAGGGAACGGACGGACACGGTGAGTGGGCAGTGGGGAACTCACTCAAACTGAGTCACGTGGCGTGAAGGCTCAACATGTCCGGATTGCGCGTCCACGCCTTCCGCGTTCATCCCGGTCAGGATCTCCGCGAAAAGTTGCTCCAGTTCGTCAGAGAGAATCGTGTGAAAGCTCCATTCATTCTCTCGTGTGTGGGCAGCCTCTCGCGCGCCACTCTCCGTCTTGCACAACCTCCCAAGCTCCCAGGCCTCGCACAACCCGACAATCCGGTTCGTCTTCTACTAGGCCTAGGCTGCCCGTTTCAATACCATATTTTCCTCGTTTTTTCATCACCCAAGATTTAAAAATGGATTCATTCCTATTATGAATAACAAGACCGGCTTCTGTAGCAGTTCCACCCTGCGGTTCCATCATTGCAAGCAAACATGGTTTCATCACGGCGGAATAATTGATAACGAGCCTCTCTGGATGAACTTTGATTTAGATTTCCACAAATGATTATTCCAAAAAATTTTGATCGATGAAAATTACGAGTAGGTAAAAAACACCTTTCAGTTTTCGACAATGACTACGCGAAAGTTTTAGGGTGGATTTTTTAACAGAGAACTATCCGATAATGCAGCTTTATTACAGGGAAAATACATATTTCTTGGAAATAAAGCAGCATTATCGGATAGGTCTCTGTTCAAAAATCCACCCTTAATCATGTCATGAACGAGACAAAATACACTGTTTTCAGATTTGAGCTTTACCTAGTGGAGAACGGAGGAAGCACTACTTCCAGAAGATTCGCCTCACCAGATGATCCATAAGACCATCCATCTAGATCAGTGGTCCCCAAACTTTTTAAGGCGAGGACCTCACGGACACATTGGTCCACCTTGAGTGGGTCGCTCTAATAACGTTAGTCAACCTGGAGTAGGCCGCATTGACAAAGATCCAACACTTCTGCATGGTTAACCCTTTATCTGGCCATCGAACTCTTGGTCTAGCTACCAGGAAGTCCAATTTAAAAAATGGGGCTGCTTTGTTACAAGTTGTATTTTCGATAAATATTCCTTTTTTTCTCTCCCTAACTTCATTTACTTGCGAGAAAATACATTTTTTCTCTGCAGTATATGGATGCTCCAAATTTTAGGCAAGGTTCACATAATCATCAAAATGTTCAACAAGTGTCTGAATATCTAAACAATGCCTAAACTTGCTAGTTCACAGAGAAGGATTCCATATCTGAAATTTTAAAAAGTGTTCATCTCGATTATTTTTGAGTGCCGATAAAACGGTTAAAAGTAAAAAGAGGCAATTATTGGGTACTCTTAGTGGGCCTCATAAAACCATCAAGTGGACCGCACTTAAAATACCGCTAATCTAGATTCTAGAAGATGTCACTACCTGCAATAGATGGAAGCGCAGGAGTGGTGGTGGGGGGTACGGAACGAATTCAATCCGAAAACAGCGTAGTTAACTCTCAATATACCGTCACTGTTGGTCTCGGCCGATTTGGCGCTAAATCAAAACGCATGGCTTTAAAATGGATAATTTTTTCCTAATTTATGTAACATATGCACCAAAATTTAACTTTAATTAATCCACGCTGCCAATGGTCCGTGCCTCAAAATACACCAACTACACAGCTTTGAAAAATAAATCCAACTATTCCATCCATTATTAAATTCAATTAGTGTAACTCCTATGCACCGCCTGCTCACATTATTGTCCCAACACACCGAAAAATTATTCACAAATTTTTGCTGACTTTTGACCATATTCGCCTTCTTCTATCGGCATACTTTCGATTTTTCTTTCGCACTTAAAACCGTCCTTTTCCCATGATTAAATAGTGAACTAACTTGAACTGCTGTCTGGAGAAGCTGCGTATATTCTTAATAAGACGTTTCCATTCCCCAAAAGAAGAGACAGGATTAGGTCGGATTAGGCGAAACTATACGCCCCTCTCTAATCTCTGAAGGCCTATTCAAACACTAAGTCATCCCGTACAATCCTGATATCTATCATGCGACCGAAAGGAGCAACTGGCAGCATTACAATTTGTACATGGCAATAATTGTGGCTGGTGAAGTATGCTGCTTGGCGTTATATCGAGTAAGACTTAAGTAGAATAAGACACGTTTGTGGGAAGCCTATGGAGAAGATTCGTTCTCAGGAAAGAGTTGGCGGTGAGCGAGAGTGGCAGTATATCGAGGGTTGACTATTTGTAAATATACTGTATATGAAAAATGATTGAAGCAACGTCACGAAGAAGGGAACAGCATTGTAAGGTATCAAATTCAACTGGAAGTCCGTTAGGATGAGGCCCTTGTATAGAGTATCGTGTTTCAGGGACAATAGATGTCCTTTTTGGCCTCTGTTTTCGAGGGGAAGAATGTTGCAGTTCATGCTTTCGGGGGTAGAGAGCAGAGGCGTAGCGAGGGGGGCTGAAGTCCCCCTCCCCCAGACCCCCAACTCCGGTCTAAATGCATCCGCCAACCCCCCCCTTCCTTGGACGAGGAGAAATCAGCTCATCGTTCCGCTTGGCCCACCCATTGGCGAAATCTTGGCTACGCCACTGGTGAAGAGCCATAAGGTTCGCTTTGTCTCGCCTCGGACTTGATCTGTAAATAGACTCTAAGGCTCCTCAAATGTCACGGGACAGCAGTATACTTCTTGATACAAATCGCATTATGATACTTCAAGATCAAATAAAATCCCCCAATGTATTATGGTTGTTTCCATGTATCAAAACCATCTCCACTCTCATCGATAGTGTACTTCCTTGCCATGACCAATATTTCACATTGCCTTCAAGTTAACTACAAAGAGAAAAGGCGTTACTCTCCTGTAACTTTTGGGGCACCCTGTATATTTTCTATTAGAACCATGCCATTAGAACCATGGTCAGCCTCTCGAGTCCATAGGCGTAGGAACGTCCTCGAAAGTAGGGAGGCTAATGAGATAGGTCAGTTCTGAAATTCGAAAAATTACTATTTAATTCAAACACGATCAGGATATCAAATTCATGTGAAACTAAAATGCAAATATTCTCCTTTCCTCAGTTTTCTTCGCAAAATATTTCATCAATTTATCTAATTCCAAGAAGTCCAAAATATTCTGATGTGCATGCCTCAATGCGACGTTTGTCAGGCGCTAGTGTGTCGTCGTCGTCTGCATTCAATTATTGAGCCGCCTCAATGCCGAAAAAGACCTCTCTGCTGATGCATACACAACATACGTAGCACAAAACCATGCCTTTCGCGGACAAGTATGAAATCCATGGCCACATGGCTCGTACTTTGCATTGAATGCCCAACCTCCTTTTCTAGGGAAATTATATTTTTGCGGCTGAAAAGGGTCACTTTCATGCACAGGCACAGGTTCCTGTGCAATCTTGTCCGTAGGGACAAGATTGACAGGAATTTTGATTACTTTTGGGTGGGCATTTGCCACCCCTGCCCTCCCGGTTCCTACGCCCTTGCTTGAGTCATTGTTAGGGGTCGATCCCGTAATAGCATTACCAAAAATGTCTAATGCCCCTGGGTTAGTCTACTCCTTTTGAGTCTCTTGCCCGAGGATGGGGTTTTTATGACCTCCCTCCCTTGCTCCTTGTGGCACCCTGTCCTGCAGTTGTAGATGAAGAAACACAGGCAATCATGGCTTCCCTTCTTGTTACGGACAACGGTAACCGTTTTATCAGCCGATTTCAGAAAGGAGCGAATCTCAAGGAGACTTTCTATCGGGAGAAAACTGAAAATAGGTTGCCGTTTCGGTCAGCGTCGTGTCTGGGTTGGAGCACTGGATTGCTCTTTCCATCTGAGGGGAAAAGGACTAGGAGAAACGGGGAGGAAATGGATCCACAATTTTCGAAGTTATGTTGGGTCATAGTCATTATTTATTACATATTGTTGTAAGGCCAATTTCTTTTTTTATTTAGCCCTCTCGGACTTCCTCGATATAGAATCCTCATTTCATGCAGCTGGGCAAAACGCTTTAACTTATGTGATGCTAATAGTCGCGTCGCGCATCGAAGCTCCGAGTAAAATCTAGAGCTCATTATGAAATGTCGAAAGCGACAATGAATGTGCTTCAACAAAATGACGTACTCTAGTCTAGCTCGCCTTAGCAGATGGAAAGCATGAGCTTTGATCCATGTAAAACGACATCGGTCCTCATTAGATCATTGAAGTTCTGGATTGTTATAAGTGTTTTTCACTTGACTTCGACACTCACGCATGAGGAACGTCCCATGTATGTGTGTCTGAGTCAAGTGAAAAATTGTCTAACTCAAGTGAAGAACACTGTAGATACAATAATGCGATACTTTTTCTCTGTTACTGTCCATTACTTTTTACCCTTGACTGCGGTATTTGTCACCCAATGTCATTCGTATTCCGAATTAGCTTGTACTTTGTTTCTGTTTTGCAGGAATATCTAGGACAAGAAGATCTGGAGTAGCGAAATACCGATAATTGTATTTTTAGCCTATGGACAGGCGATAGAACAATGTGCATGTCAGTAGTGTAACGATCATTTTGCTGACGTAATTCCAATCGTTGCTTATTCTATGAATATTATGAAAAGCACAAGAGAGCACAATGTCGAAAAGACCTTTTGTGAATAGCTGTAGTCTCACGATACCACGAGAAAGCAGTTAAGTGACGCGATATATCTTCTAAATGCAGTTCGCCATCATCTGAGGAATGAGGATTTGGGTTGGGGATTCGGGATCATTAAAATGAATATTTTAATGAACGCCTATTGTCAGACCGTAATGTTCGATAGCCGGGTCTTCGCGGGCCAGAGAGAGGGCTTCCGCGGGCCGCCAGTTGCCGACCACTGATTTAGAAGATATGGTGAAAAAAACGAACAACTAACCACCTACCCTATATATCACTACTTCCACAATAACTGTTTTAAACTAAACTTGCATTGTGCATAGAGTGATACTTTTTTATTTAGAGATCTTCGGAATTTCATTCAAATTGGCTTCATCCAAAGCGAGGATATAAGCTATTATTTAAATTAAAAAAATCGAAAATTGAAAATGGGCTGAGGACTGAATTTTCTTCGGAGAGGCTACTCTCACTCATGCCTTATGTCCCGATAAAAATAAAAATAAAAACCAAGGGGAAATCTACATAACCCTCTAGCAAACTTTTTTTTAATACCTACTTATTCATCAATTGAAATGAAAAGTTGACAACCTTCTACAAGAAAAGGACAACACGAAGGATTAATTTCAATGGGATACCAGTTCGATGTGACCTAAATGCTGTGCGTTAAAGTATGGGAACTCCTGTCCATTTTCATTATCCAATGTCTTCTCAATTTTTGCTCATTGTCTCGCCAGAAGGCAGTTGTTGCGCAACACCTTGAAAAGGCTAACAATTCCCATAATTCATACACCATGAACACGCCAGCATTTTTTTTCTTTCTATGCAGAATGAACTTGGCTAAAATTGGTAGAAATTGGTCTCGTACTGTATGACTGCAACCCTCCATGTCCTGTTATCCCCTTGCGACTCCATTTTCGTTCACCAATGGCACCATGTAAATTGGCTCTTATTCTCCCTAATGGTGTCACTTCGAGATTGCAGCAAGGGATGGTAGTCCTGCTCTCCGGGACATAGACGATGCCATTGCGAGTCTAGGGCCTTACCTGAAGCATGCAGAAACACAAATTCAGGTACCAGAATAAGGGCTGGATGAAGGTTTCAAGCGCTACTAGGCAGAACGCTTGCGAGCTCCTGACGTTTGCTCTCCGCTTCCACAACCCTCACCACCTTTCGCAGCCCGTCAGCCAGAGCCAGAGTAGAGAAAGAATACGCCGTATGTGAGGACTGGGTGGCGGAAGACGGGGACACGAGTCGAAAGCAATTGCCGAAGCTATCAATTAAGATCACATGATACGATAGCCAGTTTAATAACGAACTAACGTGGCAAAGAATTTTTGACTAATTAACCCATTAGCATCTATGTTCTCATATGACGTTGAAAATTGACAAACATAACCCATAACACCTTCCACGTTTATTATTTTACCAAATATCTACAATTGTTTTAATTATTAAAATTTACATGTAAAGTATATTTATTCAATACTATTTGTATGAAGTTTCGTATTTTATTTTTATCTTGTCATCAATAATTATTTTAAAGTTTTATGTAAATTTATCTAGAACTTTTCGTTTTGACATGCTTAGTGATTTTGAAACCATCAGAAAGCTTGATTATAATGTTAGTTAAGATGGTGGGTCGAGTAGAATTTTTTAGTGTCTCCTTGTGGTTGGTTTGTTGCACTTCATCTTCATCCAAAAGAAAGTCATTGCTGAAACACTTCCGTAGTTCTAGTCTGGGTTTTTGCTGGTAACCAAAAATAGGTCACAGTTGTCATACGAGGTCTGACAGATCGAAAAAAGCGCGCATGTCAAAATCGAAGGTCAAAATCATGCTGATCTGCTTTTTCGATATCAAAGGAATTGTCCATTACGAATTTGTTCCTCCACAACATTCATTCAAGCATTCTACCTTCAAGTTTTGGAACGTTTACGGCAGAGCAATCGACGAAAAAGATTGAATCTTTTTAGCTCAAAAACATTATTATTTAGTCTTAATTTAGTCTTTATTTCTTACATTCTTTGAAATGTGTTTGGTTTTGACAGATCTTCGAAGTGAGGGAACATGTGGAAATAGTGAGCCTAGTTGGGACCCTGACCCAAGATGGCCAGCACCACCTTCATATGAGTTTATCCAAAGTGGATGGGTCAGTTGTGGGGGGTCATGTCCTTCATGAGCCTCTAATTGTCTTCACCACTGCTGAGGTCGTCTTGGGTGAAGCACCTGATCTGGAATTCTCTCGAGAATTCGATGCAGCTACAGGATTCGATGAACTCGTTGTTCGAACCCAAGCCCAAACACGATTGGAATAAAACTATGCCAATATTGTGGTCATAATTTTTAAAAGTTCTTTCTTCTCTCTTTCTCATCAGTTAAGGTTGTCTGGAACACACAGGAACAAGAAAGGGAGTCAGGGAATTCTTTTTCTGCAAATGAGCTCTCTCTCCATTTCTCTGTCTCCTTTACTGTCACATTCTTCTCGAGTTTATCACAGTCGTGGAGGGTGCATGCAGTGGATAGACCTTCCTCTTCCCTCTTTCTATTTACACTCTTCCATGGCTTGACCTCATCTTCTCATCATCTGCGGGAGGCTGCAGCAGCTGAGGACATGGCAGAAGATGCAGCTGCACCTGATGAGCCTGCTCGTGCTGCTGCCCCGATGCTCCCAGCACTTCCATTCTCTTGACTGTTGGCACCTGCATTGGCTGCAGCTCCACCCAATGTATTATGTGTGCTTTCATACTCCATCACTTCCTTATAGATCAGCTCTTTCCATTCTTCCACTGAATGTTCCCGTTCATCCACAGAGTGGTCATATGGATGAGGAGCAGGCTGGGAAATAAATTGCAACCTCTTATTCAACCTGAACAGTACAATGATAAAAAAGAAGAGAGAAAAGAAGAGACTCACAGCATGGACTTCACTCTCTTCATACCAAAAGTTGATGTATGGATGCATTAGGGCATTATCCACAGAAATGCGGTGTTCTGGATCTATCACAAGCATCTTGGATAGGAGATCTCGTGCACACGAGGCTGTTATCAGTACCAGGTGTAATGAATGAGTTGAGTATCATTTCACACAAGACAGCAACATTAAATGAAGAGCTCTTAATATTGAAAGGGCTCATCACCTGTGAGGTTGGGGTGACCATTAGAATCAGGTGGGAAGAGTTCATTTGGGAAGAGTCTCTCAAATGAGTAGCCACGGTAACGTGGTCGATTCTCTACATAGTTTCGAACAGTGGGCTGAAGACGCTGCATGAAGTCCCTTGATGGTGTACCCAGTTGCTCTGTCAGGAAAGTAATTCAAAGCCTTTTGTGAAATTTGATGTATATGATCCAACAGCAGAAACAAATTCCAACAAATAAAAAAAAGCAACAGACCAATTATCTTGTTCCACTGGTCAATGTGATCAGTTCCTGGGAAGAGGACAGCCCCACGAATCATCTCACCCATGATGCATCCAACAGACCAGATGTCCACATTCTCAGAATAACCCATTCCCAAAATGACCTCAGGGGCACGATAATACCGGGTCACTACATATGGGGTCATCATAAATGTGGTCCCAGCTGTACGTGCCAGTCCAAAGTCCAAAATCTTGAGACTGCAATCACTCTTCACAACAATGTTGCTTGGTTTCAGGTCCTACAGTACAAATAAGAGCATTTTTAGAGAAGCCATTCATGTGTATAGGAGAACAAAAAAGTATGCAAAGAGGCAAGACCCGATGGATGATGCCAGCTGAATGGAGATGCTTGATCCCACAGAGCATCTGATAGAGGAGATAGGAGATACGGTCATGGTCCAGATCCATCTGGATCACCTGGCACAGGTTTGCATCCATGAGTTCCATCACGAGGTAGACATCCTGGAACTCCTCCAGGCTCTTTTGGGGTGTGAATGCATTCAGCAACCCAATGATCTGTCAAAACCATTGTCAGAAATTACATCATGAATATGTACATCACTCAGTCTTTCAAAATGGATTCACAATCCATAGACTTCTTCATTCCTCACATTTTTGTGGTTGACCAACTTCATGAGTTTGAATTCTCGATACGCTCTTTTGGCATGAGTCACATTCTGGAAAGGACGACTGAGTTTCTTGATGGCCACATTGCAATTGGTCACTGTGTCATATGCAGCACTGTCAAAAGATAAACAATATGAAATTAAATTACATCTGAAAATGTAAACAGATTCATCACCACATATATTTGAAAATTTGTATGAGATCAATTGAGAAGTTTTCTGGAAAAAGGGTGTATGTGCAAAAGATGCAATTCGAGATAAATATAAAAAACTTTCAATAGCTAATCTAGAGCTGGTTAAAACTCAGTTTTCAGTCAAATGGTATCTTAGACCTTTTTCCAATAGAACTTGGGGTTTCAATGAATTTCTTCATCTCACATTGCAGGGATGCAAGCAGAAATTGTTTATTCACAAATGCCATATTTCCATATCTGCACTGCTGGAACTTTTTCCTACCAGTCATTCACCACCACTTTCCAGTTAAAAATCATTATTTACCCATAAATACATCTACAGATTTCAAATCAACTCTTCCTCAAAGAATGGCAATTAAAATGTGAAAATTCAGGACAAGATTCATTCATCAATTACTCATCATTGATCCATTATTAATCCATTATTTATTCATCATCTGAATCTCCAACTGTTTCATAGATATCGCCAACTTCTTGCATCCTTCCAGAGGCTTGGATGACTAGGCCTCTTTCTTCCCCTTTCCTCCCATCTGGTTTCTTCCTCATTCTCACTTTCAATTCAAAAGAATGGAACTATTCCACCAAAATCATTCAGCGATTTAGATGCTAATGAAATATTCACAAAGTCAAATTGAAATTGTCTGGTGCATAGGAAAATCTGCTTCTCTTTTGCCAAATACACAGATATTAACTACCTGCTGACCACCCCATCCGATGACAAGTCACCTAAATTGGCCCATGGACACAGATAAGGGAAAAGGTCACATGGGCTATCATGCCCTTTTTCTAGAAACTCCTCAATTCATCACTTCTTGAAGGAAATCACAAATGTCTTGATTCCCTAGGACCAGATTTGAAAGAAAGCAAATATACAAGAATATCCTTCAATATTAATTATCCTGAAAATATTAGAAAATTCCATTTTACTTTCACCCAGAGCAACAAAAAGGAGGGCTGCTTTGTCATCTACATGTGAATTGCCCCATGCAAGATTGGATCCTTTTCAATGTTATTTGTCCATGGTATATATGAAGACTTATCTCATTTCCCTACCATTTTTATTAATAATTGAATGGAATGGGTACTTTACTGTAGGGTTCATTTATTTTATGCTTTACTTTCTGCCTTTTAGAAATGAATGCAATAACAGCTGAACCATATTAAGGACATTTTTATTCTCATTGTTTTTATATTAGGTTCTGGTTTGATAAGAAAAAATCTTGGCAAGATAAAAACAAACATCTTGTCAAGATCCTTCTCTTTGGGGTGCTGAAGGAGGACATGGTTGGACAGGTAAAATGCAGGGAGAAAATACCTAACAAATAAATCAATATTCAAAAGTTTATTGCCACTTGACTGGATGTTATGGGTGGAGGGCATCTTATCAAGACTTGGCATGAAACTAATTTCAAGATCTTGCCAGGCATCATGTTTGAAATCCATCCTTAACGTATATGTAATGCACAATGAAAAGAAGTTTGCCAAATTCTGGTCTCAAAAACTAAGTTGATAATACTGGGTGGCCCAAAAAAACGTTCCAAACTTTGTGCAGCTGCAGATGGGACACCATGCAAAGCATCGTCTTGAAGTTTTCTGTGTGTCATACCCAATATAGGTAGGTGGCTTTAGGAAAATTTCAATGAAATTCCTTGCCATAAACATGAGTAAGAGCTCTTTCCGTACAAGTCATCAAATGAGCAAGTGTGTCCGTGCACTTGGTGGTGTGCTGCATTGGTGGGTGATCCAAGGAGGACACATCCATGGAAGGCCCATCAAGCAGTTCTTTCATTGAGTTCATGTGTGTTCCTTTGCACACTCACTCTTTTGACATCATGCAGGAGAAAAATGTTTACTCATGTAGTTTACAACCAATTTCAATGAAATTCTTGCTATATTACCTGCAAACATTGCATGTAAATACTGATATATTTCCTGTCTATAACTCATATGGTACACCATCTGCAGGCATGTAAAGTCCTGAACTTTTTTTTGGGCCACCCAGTATATACAGGGCATTTCAAAAGTCACTGTGCAGTAGAATTTACCTATTTTGTATTGTACTGTCTGTCACAACTATGTTATCAAAGTCATAAAATATCACTCATTACATCAACAAATAGTACTGCCCCATAAGTACATCATTATTGTCAATACTTCCTATCTGTACTAAAGCAAATCCTTCCATGTTGTGAATGCACAGCAACCCTTGGAACACTCCGTATAAAGAATGCCTTCAAGATTTAATTCCATAATACAAATAAAACTCTTTGGGATAAATACATGAAACAGACATTATTACATAAAAATGCATGGTTTCAAAACTCTATTTTGTTCTAAATTAAGTTCTTGCACACTTATTTGGAGGGCAGAACTACCATATTTGATATGTGTCGTGAAATGAAAAGGTGGTGTTGTGTTATTTGCACTCTTCCACTCAACAGAAAATGCAAGTTTTCAGGGATCTACCACATAAGAATCAAGTAATGGTATGATAAGCCTTCTCTTCATTAGATGGCAATAATCACATTCCCATTAAACTTGTTGCCATCTAGGGACTACATAACAAACTAATTTTGAAACAAAATAGCAATGACACTTCAAATTCTCAGCAACACATTAATGCTTGGTTCACATACAGGGTGACACAGAATTAACTGCACTGGTTTGAAATATAATAACTTTACTTTTAGTTGTGATACAAATATAATTAATACATGAAATTAAAGAACATTTCTTCCTCTTCTAAGTGAGTCATCAAAACATTTTAGTTTTTCAAACTTCATGGTATTGGAATCAAACAACCTGTTTTTGGTCACTCTCAAGACATTTCTCAAAATGAATGACCAGCTCACTTTCTCACACATGTTCACTAGAATCTTTCCAAATTCTTCTGAAATTGCTGTCTTTAGTTGACCTCATCTCATCACAGCTCAATGTGCAACATTGACTGGATGAAACATTTCCTGAAGGATAGATTGATTGACATGGAAAAATTGAATGGCCACATTGTTCATGCAATCTCACTCACCCTTACTTTTCCTTGTGGGTGGTATTAAAACACAGAGTGTATAGCCATAAGTCAATCAACTGAAGATAGCAATTTCAGAAGAGTTTGGAAAGATTTCAGTGGATATGCATAAGAAAGTGTGCCAGTTGGGTAAACTTAGTTTGCAGGGACTTCTTGAGAGTGGTGGAAAACCGGTTGGTTGATTCCAATACCATAAAGTCTGAGAAACTGAAGTGTTTGCAATACTTGCCTAAAAGAGGAAATGTCTTTTAATTTCATGCATGTATCACTAAAATATATAAAGTTATTACTTTTCAAACCTGTGCAGTTAATTCTGTCACTGTGTATGTTGTTTGAATGGTTCTGATTACATATGGGATTAAAAGCCTTACTGGCTATTAAAGTAATTGTGAGGCATTCCATATATTTTAAAAGAGTGTCCTTTGCAGGACTCAAAACTTCAATTCTTTTTTTTTTCAAGTATGCACAGCACCATAGAAAATATTGTTGACACATGAATACCTCTGAGTCTCAAAAATAAATAAAACTTCATGAGGCTGCAGACAGAACACCATATCAGCAGAACAGGAAAAGCAACCAAGAAAAGGATGCTGCCACACAATTATCATGAAACCACCAATACATGTGCAGTGTGACATCTAAATGTCTTGTCAATACCTTGGCTGATGTTTCCACCTGCAGTCATGTGAAGTTGGGAACTTTTTTCTAACACCTGGGGGTATTTACTTTAGACACCTACATTATTCCTCATGCAGCTCATATCTAAATAAGAATTGCATTTCTAAGCTCAGCAGAGGACACTTATATATATTTGTATGCATGTGCTAGATTAATATTTCATTCTAACAATCTCTTCATAGTGGATTTAGTCTATTGAAATTAAGGTCATGAGCTGAAAAATATAGAAAAAAAAAGTATTCCTTGGTGTGGAGAAAGTGGAAAAGCACAGAGCTATACCACAAATTGGATCATGCCCTTAATGAAACACCTGCATAAGTTGTTGGCCAATAAATACCACTTTAGCTTTCACTATCAATTTGTGATTATCATATTTTCAATAGGTGGGATCCACTCTGATGAGAATATACTGTCATGAATCTGTTACGCCTTGGTGTCTCTTGAAGTTGCTGTGCAATTCAAAGCACCCTGAAAAAAAAAACCTTCTGATTTGATGAAAGAACATCTTATTCCTTTCATATGTGTTTATCTATACAAACAAAATATGGTACAAAAACCAACCATATACATTATAATTGATTGACTAAAAGTATTTGGAAAGACGCGATTCTTCATCTCAATGCTGGCCAAGCAATCTATGATTCATATAGTTTGAGTCACATAGTTTAGTAGGCCAGCATTGGGATGAAGAATCATACATTTTCAATAAAAAAAAAGTATACAAGAGTCTTAAGGCAAAAACCCCATTTTGCAAGTCCTGCTTCCATGAAGAAATACTGCTCATTTTCTTCCATAGTTTTACTTAAATTCCCATACTTAGTTTAATACTGAATCAAGTAAACTGGTTTGAATTGAATTTTCCTACACATGTGCACAGAGGAGTGACAACCTTAAGGAGAAAAACCTGCAAACAAGTCACAATCCAATATAAAAGCTGACTCTGGATTCTCCTCTGTAAGGTATTTATCATTTTGTTTCTTGAAGTTTTAGGCCATGAGGAGATTTGGAATGTAAAGAGAGATGAGGTCCTCACCAGACAACGCCTTGAGCACCAGAGCCGATTGTCCTAAGGTTTTGATATCGCTTGAGGATGGTGAACTTGGTATCACCAACTTCCACTGTGTAGAAATGTCCCAGATGAGGGTTGATGGAACAAGAGGAAGAAGGGGAAGGAGAGGAAGAGGTAGCAGGGAGAGTGTTCATCATCCTTCCCCTTCCAGTATGACCCAAAGGCATGAGGGCTTCAGGGCTAGGATTCCCACTCCCACCCAACCATGCACAGCTGATGACAGGGAAGCACTCCAATATGATGATGATGACCAAGAGCCAGGCCTATAGATGCCTCAGCCTCGGTCAGGTTTGGTGCAGACCTCCCTCTTTACCTCTCTCTCCAGGCAAACAAACTCATTGGTATATCCTCATGATGGACCTGAGGGACACACAAATATAGGACCCTGATGCCGAATTATATATATAAAAACCGGCTAGTCTTAAAGACTCGGGATATCCATTCACGCGACATCCCTTACAAGAGACAGTAGGGATGAGTCAGGAAATGAGATGCATAGATGTCTAGTTCTAAGCTCACGAGGAGGGAAGCCTGAGGCATTCCACTTGGGGGAAGGGGAAACAGGGGAGGAGGAAGAGGTGTGTGAATGAAGGAGCGCCTGACATCAGAGGCCTAGGCCTGTAGGATCGATACAAGACACAGAGACAGAGTTCCCCTTCCCCTCTAGGAGTCTCGGACTAGGGGCTCCTCATTGAGGGGGCAGGTCCGATTGAACCACCCTCGTATATCGTCCATGCGCAATAACAAATCTCGGAGTAGAGCCAAGAGGGGAGACCTTTATTCTGTTGACGCGATGGCCTTTGGGTGGGAATTGAATGACGTATTGGTACCCCGCTCGGCTCTGGTTTCCCTTCTCGTTTCGCTAAGTCAACGTACTCCGCACCATGGATAAGAGGAAAGGATATGGACGATCCTCAACCTTTTTCTCTTATTCGTTCATCTTCATCATTTTATTGCGGGTATAGAGTATTATATACTCTTAATGGAAAGGAGGTACACCAAGAAGAAAAAGAAAAAGGGAAGAGATGGACGGGGAAAATGACGAACTGAATGAATTCTCACAAGGGAGAATGACGTTTCATATACACACCATAGTTCAAGGTTAAGGTAGGAATTTCATTAGGCATTTCTGCCCATTAGGACAGCACAATCGATTACAACACGGTAGGAGGAAATGACAACCGATTCAAAAATGTATACTCGCCACTTACATAAATTTCAATATGGTATGATTTCCAATTCTGTCTCAGCTTTGATTCCAGTTTACATATAAATGCATAAAAAAGCCATAGAGTAATCATCGTGGAGCAAATTGGCGCTTCGATCTCTGGCCTCATAGCCAGCGATGAGAGTCAATCCATAGAACACGTCAAAGTAAAAGAACGGGGGGGGGGGGGGGGAGAGAAAAAAAAAAAAAAGGGAATGGGTATACGATTTTTGCCCCTCTAAGTTGTCGGGGACCAACAGCTACTACTTTTTTTTCCCATCGAACATGAACCTTGTGGGAAAACTAAGAAACCGATTTTGGCAAATAGGGCACCAATGGACTGGACTCAATGCCATGGTGTGCCTTTGGGATTAATCTAGTAGCGGCAGTAGGTAAGTGAGACAAATTCGAAACTTTCCATGAAGTCCTCCTCTTACATCACATAATTGAATGTAACAAGAAATCCAATCTGCTTTTTATCAACCAAATTACGTCAATCTCCGGTCTCAAAACGAGAATGAACAGTGCGTACTAACGGCGTAGCGTCGGGGGGGGGGGGGGGGGCACATGCTCCCCATCCCCTCACTTCTCAAAAAAAGAAGCCAAAGTCTGACGGAAGAAACCCATGAAATGCATGAGAACAATGTCCTATAATTCTCCTGCCCCCACCCCCCCCCCCCCCCTATCCACCCCATACACACATGCACACCTTCGCTACGTTCATGGTGTGCGGATTCTCAAGTGCTCAGGGAGGAGGTGAATTCCTCCTCTCTATGACCTTGTCCTTTTCTGTTTCTCAAGGGTATTTATTCTTCACACTTTTTCTTAGGGGAATGCTGATGACTTTCAAGTACCTGATAATTAAAACTATCAGATATTGAATTCAAGAGATTTTCCTATAGTCACCTATTTTCCCAAAACTGCAGTATATAGCATATAGTTTACATGCCAGAGTGCCACACAGCCATCAACCTACTTTACAGTCACCTAGCATTTCTTAAGCACTATAGTCTCTCACCAAGAAAACTACTAATCCATATCAGAGGGTTTCCTCAAAAGTGTATGTTGTGCAGTTTTACTAATAATTGTTGATGCAGCAATGTATTAAAATTTGTCCACAGTTCTTATATTTGTCTAGCCCATTTAACGAGTGATAACCTGAGAAAATATAGAGCTCTCCTGTGAAAGCGAATCCTACACAGCTCACTAAACATGAGCAAAACAGCTGTTGGTAATTATGTATTTCAGGATTGCAAGCCTAGTGGATTAGAGTTATTTGAGCATCCTTTATGCTAACTGGGAACTTGCCCCTTTTTTCATGCTCAGAGGGTCAGGGAAAGGCACAATTAGGCTTATACACTGTATTCCTCCTATTAGGGGTCACAATTATCAACTGTTTAACAGACTGATCTTTACTGAATGGAAAAAAATCAGTTTCAGATAACCACAGGTTATCCTCGCTTTGCCCACACCTAGTCTCTGTCTCTGTCTCTCCCTAGATTATCTTTCTTATCTCCCCCTCTCCACCTAGCTAAATGCACAATCCATACCAATCCAGAGGAAGTAATATGATTAGGGCTGCATTAATATTTAAAAAAATGGATAACAGAAATTGATTGATCTGGACATAATTAATAGCATCAGTCAGACAGTCTGCCACTGCTTTTTGTTATTACAACATGAGGCCCACCCCATGAGCATTGAGTTTCATGATGTTCACACCTGATCATGATGGAAAGCTACAGTGGTTTTGCTGATCAGAGTTGACATTTCAATTGAAAGGACTGGGGAAATTATCACTATATATGATCCCACTCTTTTAAAGCAACCAGTGCCTGGTTGCTTCAAAAGATAGGGATGCAAGAGTCCTACTCCTGCAACAGGAGTTGGACTCTCCAAGCTGAAAATGTGAAGAAGGTAACTATAGCATGTAGACCTAAGATGGTCACAACTACATAAGTCCGTAAGTACCAGATTCTGTGTGACCTTGGAAAGGCCCCTTTTACTTACTCTTTAGAATTATGTTCCAGGTTCCATTAGAAATTCTTGCAAAGCTTAAGTTTAAGTGAAAGCAACTTAAGTCACTCAGGCATAGTTACATCAAGTCTCCTAAAATAGAAGTAAGAGTAGGTCTAGGCTTGGCCTATGCAACCTCAGATGCCAGTTATACAGCTGTGAACATAAGCGTTAAGCATCAAAGTTAGGCCTATCTTGTAAGATTTTACACAATAATATCAGCCACATTTCTACATCAGAAAGAATTCCATACTGGACCAGCAGCAGAATGACCCCAAGATATATCATTCATAAGCTCTTGATGACTAGATTACATGGGTACATATTCTAGCTGAGAAACTTCAGAAACAAAGTTGTAATTTTAATGTAAAGAGGGGTTGCAGGTGGTGCACATGCACACTCACATATTCTCTACAGAGGTTACGGAAGATGGCAGTAGCAATAGAGACCAAGAACACCTGTAACAAAAAGCATCATTATTGCCCCTGTACTCCCCAAAAAATAATTTAATACCTTGGGTGCTAGACTCAGACTAATGTTTCACCAACTCTTTTGGATTTACATTAAACACAAACCAGCAACCTTAAAGGAAAAGCAATAAATACAGATCAAGTGAGCTGCATTCCTTGGGTGTTTTTGGACCCAAAAGAGCAAGAAGGCCTACCGACTATGGAGAATGATGGGTCAGTTGGGGCTAGAAAAGGTTGCAGCTGAAGGCTGCAATTCATATTCACTCTTGTAGCCTTTGACACTGAAGGATTGGGAAAATAACTGGACTTAACAAACTTTGCTAAAGCAATGTGCTCTCACTTAAATGAGGAAGAATGACAGGCAGGTAGGACATTAGAAAATTAATATGGTGTGCATAACTTGGATGCATGCAAAGGGTATGGCACCAATATATGGAACAGCAACTAATGTCAACAGATGCTTGGGCCTGGGAAGGGCATGTGACATGGCTGCTCCAGGTTGCCAACATAGAGCTTGATCATATCTCTGAATAAATATTCCACACTCATACTTCAACTCTCTTAGGTAAAACTTAAACAACAATCTATTCATAAAGGACTTTCATGTGACAAATCTCTTGCACCATTCTGCCAGTGGTTCATGAAGGTAGTAATCCCCCTAAATCTACTTTAAGGAGAAGGTAAACCAAATGACATTGCCAAAGTCCCAGTCTGATATTCTTGACAAATCTAGTGACAAGTTTTTGTCTACTTTTTCCAGAAAAAGTTTGTCTTCAACTTCGGAAGAGTCCTTGGATGGAGTGAGCAAGAGCCAGGGTATACAACTTCCTAGCTACTAGGATAAACCTTGCTTAGATTTCTCTTCAGGCTGTATGCTCTGCTTTGGATGTTAGCAAGTTGAAGTGAACACTCCATCCAATGTATATCATGAATCAAGAGTCTCCAGTACATGAGGGAATGCACTGAGTCAAGGAGCAGACAGTACAAAAAGATGTTCCTATTCTTAAATCTGTTTGGCTTGAATTTTTGCATCCCATTTTTTAAAGAAAATTCTCCATCTTGACAAGCCAAGAGTCTATCAACAGGACAGTTATCAGGACTGAGGGGCATTGAGTCATTGAGATTCTCTGCCATGAAGGCAGATGCAAACTGGGAGCTTAATCCCTTAACCATCTCAGAATCTGAGCAAGAAGCCAATATCAGGGTAGATCATGATAAAATTTGGCACAAGGAAAAAGTGCTCTCATGCTGTCAGATGCCTAGACCTTTCATGGCCATAGCTCAACTATATGCATTTGCAATATGTCTGCCTCAGGTTATGGCACAACCATTAGTTAGTAGAGATTTGAAAATTGTCTGCTACTCTCCTATTCAACATACTTGTACATGGTAAACACCAATTGATTGATGAAAAACCTTGGCATAGTACAGTTTTCTGATTCCTTTTTTCAATTCAACCCCTAGGAGCCCTTCCATCAATTGCAAGCAGTTACATTTTCCACATGGATGGTTTCATGACTCATCTGATGAAGATTTCTGGGAAATTGTGCTTTCTCTGCTCGTTAGACGTTAGACCCCCCAGAGAGGGTACAAATCTACTTTAAGAAGTGGAAGCTCTGACAAGCGCCAATGTGCCAAGAGAATTCAAAACTCAATATGAACATGAAAATGTCTGGATTAGAGCCTAAACTCGAATTAAAGCAGAGCTAAGGTCTTTGTCTATATTAGGCGGGATGCAGGGCAGGCCGATGACCTAGCGTTAAGCAGGGCCATGAATAAATTACGCTTCGTTAATCGAGTCAGCGATTAGCAGGTAAAGAGTACGAATATTTAACGATAGACCAGATCTTTAGATCTGAGTTCTAACCCTATTACGTTAAAGTTGTGGGAATTCTAGGCCTAGGCTTATTGGGCTCACATGGGCCAGTCACATTTCGACAAAATGTTACTCGAGGCTAGGCCTACGAGCTATAGACGAAGAAAAGCTAGAGGTCGAAATGAGTGACTCCATTTGTCGAAGGCAATTTAGTTTCTTCCTTATGTCCAGACCCAGGCTACATTTTCAGAGATGGAGAACAGTAGATGCAGCAGGGTAACCATGCAGAATTGCAGATCCTTCCCACCATGTTGACTCTACTACTCCCCTGACATCTATGGATATATTTAAAGAATGCAGATATCGTTTCCTTTACCAGATGATAGGAGGTGCCCATTCATCGTGAGGGATCTGGAAGAGAATTCCTTTCTATGGGAATTGCAAGACATTAATACTCCTGGCATTGATTTAGAATATCCTGGATATTCTCCTGACTTAGAAGCCTGATTCCTTTTTTTCCGATGGCTGTGTCTCCAAATGAGGATGCCGTCTGTGACATCGAGAAAAAGGACCTAATGAGCCTCAAAATCCTTAGCTTCAGAAGAAAACAAGAAAGCATCCTGATCTGGCTTATTCACAAGTCAACCTTCGCGATAAGTTTTGGAGAGGAGGACGAGTCCTGCTAGCCTGTAGATGCTCCATCCGAAATTCAGTGCAGATTGATGGAAAGGAGACAGACCTCTCTGTGAGCGTCGGAAAGCGTGGGAGCTCTACTTGTGAGGTTCCTGGATGACTGAAGATGATCTGCCCCCTAAAACTCCTGGTGATAAACGAAATCCTTGCTGCCAAGCTGCATGCAGAAGAGGTGGCTCTTCCAATTTATTTTTAAAAACAAATTTTAATAGAGTAAGAAGTAGATTATAGATGAATTAGCCAGGGATTCTTGCATGAAGAGCCAGGGATTTGATTTCATAGCATGGTCCAGATAACAAATGGCCTTTTAACTTTATTGTGGTAAAACAAGGTAAAAACGTGGTAAAAATAAAGACAAGTCTACTGTATACCTGTCGGTGGTTACTGGAATATCATTAAGCTTCGTTATATTACATTTCCGGTCTCCGGCGTAGTACCTACGCCAAGACTTTTTGTTATGCAAGGTGTTCCACGAAAGTCTGACACATTTATTTTTAATAACTTAAGAATGGTAATACAAAAATACTTGAAAGTTGGAACTAAAATAAGAGGGTCTTTGCAAATTTGGTTACAATAACTGAAATTTACATGGGGATTTTTTTATTTTCTGAATATAACATTCTTCAAATGTCTTCCTTTTCACTAAGACAATCCCTGCATTAAACCGAAGCATTGTTCATTGCTGCTCCTAATGTGTCTCTGTGAATGGAAGTCATGATTTCATTAATTCTGTTCTTCAGTTCCTCAGCACACCTAGGTTTTGTGCGATACACATCGTTCTTAAGGTAGCCTCAAAGGGAAAAAATCAGGGACTGTCAAATTTAGCGAGTGTGAAGGCCATGGGACAGTACCGTAGCACCTACCACCGGTCGGGACCGTAGTGTCAAATGAATCCATCCCCAACATTTGCTTGTCACTCCAGAACTACGCCGTAGACGCATTAACCAACGCAACCTCTGATTCCAACAAGATGGTGCAAGCAGTCATACAACTCACATTGTCAAATGTTTGACTCAAAACGCACTAAATTAACACTGACAAGGAAGAGCCGCAACATTTTTTTTTGCAGACAATTCATATCATTGCCTGTGGCACCTTATTTGCAGGTATTTCATATCATTCCCTATTACTTCATTACTCACTCGCCTGTCAACATTTCATTTCATTTGAGGGAAATGTAATGTGTGAACAGCGAGTATGTTGATTACTTGGACGAAGAAAAGTCTAATTTTGATTCCCTGATTAAATAATAAATAATGCAGCAAAGAGAAATAGCAGAAAAAATCGTTGTTTTTAAATGGAAGTAGACACCTTCAGGGGGCCATCATACAAGCCGTGCAACCGTACAGTGAGGCCAGAAAATATAGGGTGGATTTTTGAACAGAGAACTATCCGATAATGCAGCTTTATTCCAACTAAAATGCATGCTATTTTCCTTGGAATAAAGCTGCATTATTGGATAGTTCTCTGTTCAAAAATCCACCCATAGAGTTTTTCTAATATAAAGCGGCAAACGACCCACGGGTGAGACGTATGGCAGTCAACCTGTTAATGGTGCGCGTGCGTTCTCCTTTAGGAGGGAGAAAAATAAACCCCCTTCAGTCCGAGAAACGACATTGTGGAAGGGGTCAAAAAGTATTAAAGTATTAAAGAATAAACGAGGGAAAATTCGGGTTAGGATTCCTTTGGAAGCAGTCCATAGATCGATAGGTATCTTATTGAAATTCATCGATGAAGTACCATTCCACGTGGGATCAAATCGCACCCGATCTGATCTACCCATTCTTTCTGGAGAAGGCAACATTGCAGCATTTTCTTGTTGTTCGTTATATTCACATTCTGGAAGGGTCCGTTCCGGAAGTCATGATCATCTTCTAAGTACGATCAGAGGAAGAAGACGGAATGACGTTTGTTGTATGTGACTAGCAAGTCCACTTTGATGTCGTCCCGACCGGAAGTCTGCTGGGGATATTCCTTCCTCGTTATTGCTCTCGGAGCAGGAGCATCATTAGCTTCTTTCGGGAGCAGCTCACGACAGTGCGGCAGAAATCCCAGTTCCTCCTCCTTCCTGCATCTCCTTCAATTTCCTCAGCCTAATTGAACTCTTACTGCATGGTTCTCTCGGGACAGGAAAAAGTTATTGATGGATAATCGAATATCACTGGCAAATCTGAAATTACCCAGGCATTACAGCAAATATCTTCATTGGCGTAGCGAGCTTGGCTAGGGGGACTTCAGCCCCCCAAGTTTGGTTCAAGCCCCCCAACTCCGGTCTTAATGGATCTGCCCCCCCCCCCCCCCCCCCCCCCCC